CACAATGAAGATGTACTACTTATTCTCTCTTTAATTATTTTATTTATTACTTCTATCCTTTGCATGCTTTGGACTCCAGCTGTAAAAACCTTAACCTGAAAACATTTTGCCCATGCTCTATAACAATTTTGTAAAGTATTATTAAGATAATCTCGAGCTTGAGGATACTTTTTCAATAAATGTGTCTATCATTGATGAAAATTATTTTCAAATAAGCTATTTGGGCATGAAGAAACTCTTTATAAAATTGATCATAATGTTTGCCTAATTTACTCCATAAATTCTTGTGTAAATTCTCTTATATATGAAAAATGCAAAGAAAATGATGAACAGTAGGCATTTTTAATGCCACAGCATTCATTAAAGCTGGATTAGTGTCAGAAAATATACAGATAGGTGGGACACTATTTGTTACTTGAAAAATATAATCGAAAAACCATTTATAACTTTTGGTGGTTTCATCATCAGATAAACATTGAGCAACAAGTTGACTTTTAGTATTATTATCAATAACAATTAGAAGGGTCAAATACATATTAAACCAGTTTGTTTGACTTGTATTATCTATTTGTATTACATCATTATAATATAAAAAACACTGTTATTAACTAGATAACATTCAGAACAACCCCGTAAGCTGATTATCAAAGGGATCAAGTCTTGTTTTAATTACCTAACCTGTCTTCTGATTTTGTAAGTCAAGCAATTTATTGATTATATTTTGTGTATCTTCTTGACATTTTGTATAAGGTGCTTTAAAACTATAAATAACATTATATATGTCTCGCTTACAGATTAACTGACTCAAAAAACTTGCAGTAATTAAATGATATATTTGCTTTGATCTCAAGTTGCCTTTAGTTACATAAAACTTAACCTGATTCATTATATTATTTGACAATCTGCAGTATTTAGGTGCATATAAACTTATATCAGATACCATAGAATAATTGTGTACTCCAACAATACTTGTTATACCTACTTTTGAAAAGCCTTTAGGCTGCGTTAAATTTATGTGCTATAAACAACCAACCTTTCTAGAGGAACACTGACACTGGCTGGTTGGATCAATTACTTGATTGGAAATGGTCTCTCTGGCAAAACTGTATTCAAACATTTGTTGACGAACTATTGCGTCTTTATCAACTTTGACTCATTTACGGCATATACAAAATTCAGCTAATCTTGCATATTGTTTAATTTATATTTTAGCCATATCTCATAAAATAAATGTGTTACTAGCATTAAGGTGAATAGTTTCTTCTAATTCAGGTTCTATATCTATACTTTCTTGAGATTCTACACCCATACCATCTTGAAATTCTACACCCATACCATCTTGAAATTCTACACCTATACTTTCTTAAGATTCTACATCCATACTGTCTTAAAATTCTACACCTATATTATCTTGAAATTCTATATACATACCATCTTGAAATTCTACACCCATACTATCTTGAAGTTCTACACCTATACTTTCTTTAGATTCTACACCCATACCATCTTGAAATTCTACACCTATAATTTCTTGAGATTCTACATCCATACCATTTTGAAATTCTACATCTATAATTTCTTGAGATTCTACACCCATACCATCTTAAAATTCTACATCTATATGTTCTTGAGAATTTACGCCTATACTTTCTTGAAGTTTTATATAGAAATGTTGATTATAAAATAGTTCTCTAAAGTTATTGCTGCACTCTACTGCATTGATGTTATCAAAGAAATGCGAGATGTATGTTTGAAGATTTTCTATAAGATTATTATTATTAGTATTGTTAGGAAAGACAGGTATATCAGCTTGAAGTTCTTTATAAGAAAAGCCTAAATAAATTTAGAATTAAGATGGAATAAGTAAAATAATTGTGGGCTGAGAAAAAACAAACCAACAAACTACTTACTTTCTATCATCAGATTTATTAATAAATGTGCTTAAAACAAAAGGTTACTGGAAACAAAAGGCCATAAAAAGAAAAGAAATTGACAAAACAAAATTACTAAAAAAAAGAGAATATTGAAAAAATAGCCATTGAGAAAAAAAAAAACTGCCAAAAAAAAGGGTCATAAAAAAAAGATATCTTAAAAAAAAAAAGGTTGTTGAGACACAAGTGGCTGCTGAAAAAGATAGATCACTAAAAAATAATCACAAGGTCTCCGAAAAAGAGGTCGCAAAAAAAAAAAACTCTAAAACTAATAGTCATTAAACAAGAGATTGCTGAAAAGAGATCATTGAAAAAAAGATCACTAATGATAAATGTATGATGTAAGTATGTAAGTATATAAGTATAAAAAGTGTAAGTATAAGCATAAGCAAGTGTAAAAGTCACTTGTTATTGAATGCATGTAAACAAAGTGCGGAGTTCTAATTATCGTACTATAATAAAATAATAATCGTTATGTAATCAGGTGAGGACATGTGACAAAAATGGCAGCATCTTATTCACTAATTGTATTTGCATATATAAATGCATATTGACTGATGGATTTATTTTGATTACATAAAAAGGAAATATTTATATATGTTAAACTACAGACCGAGAGTAGACAGATTATTTATACAAGCTAAATTAAAACGAGTTCTTATTGTAGATTAATTTATATTATATGATCTGATTATATATATTATAAATATTTATTTAACCAGTAATCATCACCACCAGTTATGGTTAGAAATATTCTTATCTTATAACTATTTTATAATTATTTTATAATTATAAATAGTTATAAGATAGTTATAAGATAGTTATACAATAATTATAAAATTATTATAAATCTATTCTAAATTTATTTTAAGATGATTGCTATTTTACACTATATAAATATACATATATATATTAATATTTCGAAATTTTGATTATAATATCCACTTCAAAGGTTCTAACAAAAAAGATTTTTTACAAAATCTTAGTATAAATTATAACCTTCTCTAACCCTAAAGTTAAACTCACCCTAATCTTAAACTATACTAATTTTTTATTTACAATTTATATATTAAACAAATTTGTAAATCAATAAATTAGTATATGTATATATATATCTGGTGTAAATTAAGTAATTTCTTATTTTAAAATAATAATAAAAAATAATAATAAAGCATAATTATAAATAATTTTATTCATACCAACTCTTTCTGCTGATCTACAAATTGCAACTAAAATTTAATCAGCTATAAAATAAATCATTATTTTTCTTAAGAACTAGTATAAGAAACAAGGTTTCTTGTATTAGTAAAAAAAGAAAGAGCTCTAAAAATAATCTTTAGTTAAAATAAAAAAAAAAAAAAAAAACTCTTTCCGTCAATCACTTACACAAAACTTAACTAAAAATTCGCCAGTATAAAATCCTTAATAA